TTCCTAGGACTTATCTTCAGAGACTGAGTTTCTGTAGATATGGGTTAAAAACCCCCAAATCTGCATGTTAAACAACCTTACACAAATCCATATTATATACTCCAGGAAATTAGATACATATGGTCCATGCATCAATTGAAAACACTTAGGAAACACTACCTTTTGGAAATATTCTAGTAGTATTCACAGAAAAAGAAGCAAGCTCTGCAAATGATAAACACATGGTAAAGAAATGACTGAATCTGGGAGAACAACTCAGTGATAAGAGGATTACCTACATATGTGAGACCTTGGGTACAATCCCAACCCTGCAGTAGATTTAACTACAAGGTAAGAACTTGAGCACAGGCTGTTGCAGTTTTAATCATGTAGGTCATACCTACCCAAGAGCAAAAATGTCTACTCTGGTTACTAGAAAGCCTAAAGCTGATCTATTGTATCTCTTAATATTTATTCCTATCTCCTAGTATTATTGAATACTGTATATTCATGTACTTAATAATGTAATTAATTATTTCATGTACTTAAGAACATGCTGCTTAAGACAAGAATGTCTAGTCCCATATATTATTAGCTATATGACTTCTGGCAAGTTACGTAACTTCTCTGTTCCTCAAGTTCTCTCTATATAAAATGAGGATTAAAATAGTTCCTATATCACAGAATTCTTGCCATGAAATCAGTTCATATAAAATAAATCAGTTCATATAAGGCATTTGCCATAGTACATGGTATGGTAAATAATAATGTGGGATAATCTACAGATAAAATGCATAAAAATGAAAAACAGCTGAATCCTGGGCATAAAAAAAAGTAAAGTGAACAGAGTCAGGAGCTAAGAACAAGCTCTACCCTAATCTGAAGTCTCTCACTTCCCAATAAGACTATAGTAGCTAACCATGTGTTTAACCTGGATGAGAACATTCTGGGTAATATCTCAAAGACATCAAGCAAAACTCGAAAGTCATCCTGGGATTAAAGAAAAATAAATTATCTCCCAAGTTTAAGAAAAGGAATAATGTTTTCTTTCTTCAATACAGTTGTATGTGCGTGTATGTGAATGTGCATGTGTACACACACACACACACACACACACACACACACTCTCTCTCTCTCTCTCTCTCTCTCTCTCTCCTGGGGCTGAACTCAGAACCTGGACACTGTCACTGTCACTGGGCTTTTTTGCTCAAGGTTATCACTCTACCACTTCAGTCACAGCTATTCTGGAGGTAGAGATTGGGAGGTTTCAGTTTGAGGCTAGTCTGAGCAAAACTGCAAAATGTTAGCAAGATGCAACAAAGAAGTCAGGAATGGTGGTGACTTATAATCCAGTGTTCCTATAATCCCAGCTACAAAGGAGGCTGACTTAAGAAAGCTGTAGTCTAAAAATGGCCCAGGCAAAAATTGGGAAATTCTATCTAAAAAATGATTGATAAAGCAACAAGGGATGAAAACATGGCTTAAGTGGTAGAGAACTTCTCTAGCAAGCACAAGACCATGAGTTCAAGCCCCAGTAGCCCTCCAAGAAAACCAAATAGTTTCTCTCACCTTGTCCCAGATGAGAGATGTAGCCAGAACTTACAAATGTCTGGGTACAGGAAGTCTTTTGGTCAAGAGTACCAAAGTTATAAGAGCCTGGAATCAGTAGCTCACACCTATAATCCTAGCTACCCAGGAAGCTGAGATCTGAAGCCAGGCTGGGTAGAAAGGTCAATGAGACTCATCTCCAATCAACACCCCCAAACCAGAAGTGAAGCTGTGGCTCACAGTGGTAGAGTACAAGCCTTAAGCAAAAGAACTCAGGGACAGCACCCAAGCATGACCAAAAAAAAAAGTTACAAGAAACAGGAAACCATGTCACAAGACTCTTTAATTAGTAATATCCACCTTCCATGCAATGCTTCTGCTTAGGTGATAATGTCAAAACTTTCAAACAGAAAAATGACTTGAATAGTACTGGTACCAAGCATAAAGAACATGTTTATCTCGAGGAAAGTTGACATTAAATTCTCTTAAACCATTTTAACTAATATACAGAGCCCCAAAGGAGTTAGGCACCAGTGTCTCCTGCCTGTGATTCTTAGAAGGCTAAGGGCCTAAGGATCATGGTTTGAGGCTTGCCCAGGCAGAAAAGTTCATGAGACCCTATCTCAAAAAGAAAGAGCAGAGAAACAGGGCTGAAAGTATGACTGACATGCAGATTGCAAGCCTATCAAGCTCTAAACTGAGTTCAAACCCCAGACTGGCTTCTGCAAAAATAAAAAGGCTTTGAGGAAGAGCCTTAAGTACAGCAAGCTCTTGGCATGCACTTTTCCCTCTATTGCTTGCTTATTCTACATTGTTAACTAATGTAGTCTTTGCTCCCTCTTACTTTGTGAATTGCTTTGAAATTCTTTCCATCAAATGGAATTCAAGGATCAGTCCAATTGGGAGGGGTAAAGAATAAGGAGTTAAGAATCTGATGAAGAACCTTCTCCACCTTTTGTTCTCATAATATGAACTGTACTTTTTACCTCCAATCTGTTTTAGAAAGAGACAGATATAAACAATAATAGTTCTTTTTTACCATAATATTTTTCTCACTTTTGATATCCTTCCACTGAAAACTTCTTTTCCATCTTGCTTCCTTCCATACTAAGCTTACAGCATAATGATGCTTAGCATGTTTGCACATTAAAAACACTTAAAGAACTCAAGAGGTTTTGGCCATATCCCCAATGCTTCTGATTCAATAAGTAACATTTTCCCCTTCCCCCCCTTTTTATCATTGAGCTACAATGTCAGCCCCGAAAACACTCCCCACCCATCCCCCACCCCTGTGGGTTCTGGGCCTTGAACTCTGGGCCTGAGCACTATCCCACTTTGTGCTCAAGTCTAGCACTCTACCACTTGAGCCACAGCGCCACTTCCAGCTTTTTCTGATTAGTTTATTGGAGATAAGAGCCTCACAGATTTTCCTGCCTGGGTTGTCCTTGAACAGTGATCCTCAGATCAGCCTCCTGAGTACCTAGGATTATAGGTATGAGCCACTGGTGCCTGGTTCCAGTGAAAGGTTAAAGTTTGAGGCAGTGACCACTTGTTGCTTGTTTCTGTCTAGCAAAGCAACATGTGGTGGTAATCCAAACACCTGGTTGATTGTGTGCCTTTATAAGACCTGCAAATCCTTAGCTCAGGGCTCTCCTCCTAGGCTCTGCTGTGTCGGAGTGTAGGACAAGACCCGAGCTGCAGCCCAATAAAACAGCTGTAGAGTCTGACTCTCGGTGGTCTTCTTGCAGGGGTCCTGCGACCTTGGCCTAACACCAGAAATAATTTTTAAAGTTTCCTATGTAATACTAATGTGCAACCAGCACTTGAAAAATCAACATATAGAAATGTCTCTAATACCTAGGAGTCCCTGATTTTGACCTCTGTCAGAACCAGACTCATTTTGCTTTTATTAACTTAAAGACTGGAAGTAGAGCTATGGCTCATAAGGTAGAGCACTAACCTGGAACAAAAAGAGCTCAGGGACAATGCCAAGGCCTACAGTTCAAGCCTTAGGACTGGTACACACACACACACACACACATGCACACACACACACACACACACACACACACGCACACACACCCCTACTACAAATCTGGACACTGTGGTACATGCCTCTACTCCTGATAACACCAAAGGACTGAGTCAGAAGAATCATTTGAGTTTGTAATATTGAGCAACATAAAAGACTTTGCCTCAAAATAATAATTTTTAAAATGTTTGTTAAAGAAATAAAAGAACCCACATCTTCCACAAATGTTTCTTTAGCAGCATTTACATACTTTAATAGCCCATCCTGGCAAGGTACTGATGACCCAGATTCCCATAAATGGTAACATTTTACTACTGATTTTTTCTAGGTCCTGCCTCTAACCCTGCCTGTTTAGATTTTAGTAATTCATTACCAAAGGATCAGAACTACTGGTAAAGCCTTCAGATTTAAATTCATTCTATAATAAGATTATAATTTTAGTCAGATGAATGATTAATAAAGTTTAGGTGGGTATAATTTTATTATGATGGCAATATCTTTAAAGAATGAGCATAAGAAGAAAAAAATACCATCATGACCTTAACACAATTTTAACTTATTTACAATATGTCTTTGAGAGCTGTAATCCTACCTACTCAAGAGGCTGAGATCTAAGAATCATGGTTAGGATAGGAAATGATCTTATAATGACTCAAGCCTATAATCCTAGGATTTGGGAGGTGGAGACTGGGGATCCCCGTTCTAGGCCAGCTGGCCAAAAAAAAGTTTGCAAGACTTCATCTCAAATAGTGGCAGGTAAGCCGGGCGCTGGTGGCTCATGCCTGTAATCCTAGCTACTCAGGAGGCTGAGATCTGAGGATCGAGGTTCAAAGCCAGCGTGGGCAGGAGAGACCGTGAGACTCCTATCTCCAATAAAACCACCAGAAAACCGGAAGTGGCGCTGTAGCTCAAATGGTAGAGTGCTCGCCTTGAGCTGAAGAGCTGAGGGACAGCGCCCAGGCCGAGTTCAAGCCCACGACCGACCAAAAAAAAAAAATAGTGGCAGGTGTATCAGGGAAACACAATGGCTGGCTGCAGTGGCACATACGGGAATAAGTAAGAGATAATAGCCCAGGCAAGCCTGTTCATAAAGTGAGATTCTTCCCTGAAAATAAGCAATGCAAAAAGGGGCTGGAGAGAGGGACAATAAAAGGAGTGACTCAGTTCCTCCAGTAGAAAAGGAATATTGCCTCATCATATAGCGAGAGGCAGGGGAGAGAGCAGAATGAAAAACAGTTGTAATGGAGGAAAGTATGCGTATTGGTATGGTAAGCATGCTCTCCTTTATATTCTATATCCCAGAACCTATCATAGTAGTAGTGGGCACATAGTGTGTGTGTGTGTAAATACTTTGAGACTGTTATGGCATAAAAAATATGAATTCTTACTAAATAAACTGCTCTTTGAGAACATCCACAATTTTCTCAACATCCACACTTACCTTGATACATCACAGGAATAGTGCCAGTAAAATTCAGTAGGTCTTTCTGAGAACTATCTTTAAAAACTAGAAAGAAAAAACAATACCAAAATGTCAATCTTAAATAGATTGCATGAGTGGATGAGTGCATGCATGCATGTACATACACATACATACATACATACAAACATATATATATATGTACCTCACAATCTCTAAATACCAGGATCAATATAAAGGTCAGCAAGAGGAAATCACTAGAGAGCACTTACTTAGAAAACAAAATAGTGGAAAGAACAGAGAATTTTGACACTGAAGTTCTAAGTCATCTTCTCTTAAAAGGAATGTGACTTGCAGTTAATCTATTTCATCTTCAGTTTAATCATTTATAAAATAAAGATAATTGCTTTAGAGTTGTTATAGGAGCAAATGAGACATGAAAGCCCTTAATAATAAATAAACATCATACAATAAAGGAAGTTTTGCTTGTTTGCTCGTTTTTTTTTTTTTTATGACAGTTCTGGGGCTTGAACTCAGGGCTTGGATGCTGTCCCTGAGCTTTTTTGCTCAAGGTTGGTTTTCTACCACTTGAGCCACTCCTCTACTTCCAACTCTTTGGTGATTGTTAGAGATAAGAATCTCACAGATTTTCCTGCCCAGGCTGGCTTCCAACTGTGATTCTAAGATCTCATGTAGGATTATAGGTGTAAGCACTGGTGCCCAGCCAAGGAACATCATTTAGTAACTGTCCCATGTAAATAATTGGTTATATTTATATATAACCAGAAGACAAAATGTTCAAATTTTCTTTAAGCAACCTTCTAGAAAGAACCTTTTTGATTTCTTAACTAATATCTTGGTCATTTTTCAAAGTTTATGTTCTTGAGATTTTAATTTTTCCATCAATAGCTGGGTCATGATGGTGGAGAATCAGGACTGAGTACAATAAACACTACCACTGGTTTCACACAAACTGCCTAGGAATGCAGAAATTTTTTGTGTGTGCTGGTACTGGGCCTTAAACTCAGGACCTTGCACTCTTGCTTGGCTTTTTTGCTCAAGGCTGATGTGCTACCACTTCAGCCACACCTCCACTTAGGTAGGACTTTGATAACCTGGTAGAAAGTAAAGAAAGGACACTAGGCTATGTTATTTTCTCAGGCAGCTATAATTAAACACCATAAGGGGTTTTTTTTTTTTTTGGTCCAGTCGTGGGGCCTGAACTCAGGGCTTGGGCACTGTCCCTAAGCTTCTTTTGCTCAAGGCTAGCACTCTACCACTTGAGCCACAGCACTACTTCTGGCTTTTTCTGTTTATATGATATTGAGGAATGGAACCCAGGGCTTCATACATGCTAGGCAAGCACTCTACCACTAAGCCACATCCCGAGTTCGTAACATTTTGCTTTTGTCTGTCACGGTGCTTGAACTCTGGGCCTGAGCATTGTCCCTCAGCTCTTCAGCTCAAGGCAAACACTCTACCACTTGAGCCACAACACTACTTCTGGTTTTCTGAGTGGTTAAATGGAGAGCAGAGTCTTATGGACTTTCCTGCCCAGGCTGGCTTTGAACTGCGATCCTCAGATCTCAGCCTTCTGAGTAGTTGGATTACAGGCCTGAGCCACTGGTGCCCTGCTAAATTTGTATTTTTAAGGCACAAAATTTGAAGTAGTTTATTCCAGTAGTAATTAGCAAAACTAACATTAAAAAAATACTTAAATTTCCCCAGAAACTGGAAGTAGTTACAGGTAGCTAGATAGCAGACATAAGAAAGAAATAATAAATGATCATTTTTCAGGTTTCTAGGGCCAAACAATAATCATTCAAATAATGCAAGAAAGACTACACAATATCATTCTTACCATAGGTGTCCATGGAGTATCTGAAATGTGGGAAAAATGTATTTACATTCTTCAGTTCTTCTACAGTTAGATCCCTAAACTTGTACTGAAAAAATAAAAATAAGGAATAAAAGCTAAGCTATGAACAACAAAATAATTACAGTAACATCTAAGTGATATTTATTGAATGTTAGGCCCTAGAGCTTTACAAACATGAAGAGTATTTGATTTTTTATTTTTTTTATTTTTATTGCCGGTCGTGGGGCTTGAACTCTGGGTCTGGAAACTGTTCCTCAGTTCTTCGGCTCAAGGTGAGTGCTTTAACACTTGATCCACCAGGCCACTTCCGGTTTTCTAGTGGTTCATTGGAGATAAGTGTCTCACAGACTTTCCTGACCAGGCTGGCTTTGAACCTTGTTCCTCGGATCTCAGCCTCCTGAGAAGCTAGGATTACAGGCCTGAGCCACCGGTGCCCGGTTTTTGTTTGTTTTTGGTTTTGTTTTTTTTTGGCCAGTCCTGGGGCCTGAACTCAGGGCCTGGGCACTTTCCCTCAGCTTCTTTTGCTCAAGGTTAGCACTCGGCCACTTGAGCCACACCACCACTTCCAGCTTCTTCTGTTTATGTGGCACTGGTGAATCGAACCCAGGGTTTCATACATGCTAGGTGGAAGTAGAGCTGTGGCTCAAGAGGCAGAGTGCTATCCTTAAGCAAAAAAAGCAAAAAGGATGTGTCCAGGCCTTGAGTTCAAGTCAGTAAAGGCCAGGGAGGAGCATGCACAGCTTTGGTTTGCCTGGAATTCAAGTTCCAGTACACACACACGCACGCACACTCACATACACACTACCCATTGGTGAGGTGGAAATTGTGCGGGTGGGGGTGATGGGAAAACCCAGACTAAGAAGCAGGAAGGTAGCTTCCCTTTAGACACTGAAGCTAGTCGGATCTCAGAAATGTAGATCAGACATCTGGGTCAGCAACTCCAATCTTTAATCTACCAACACGGAGAGGCAATCATGGGGTTTCAAGTTCCGCATTCATTCCTAAATCTAGTCTGCTCTTTCAGTGATTTAGCACCGATTTGGTCAGGCACAGTGCTGCTGCAATGGCATACAAAAAAGCAAGGGCAGTCACTACCTTCAAAAGAGCCCACAGCAGGGGGAAGGTTAGTAAATAGCCACCTCCCCAAAGTGACCGCGGATGATTTTTAAGGCAGTGGAGGGGGGAAGGGGGAGCTTCGAGTCTTCCAAGGAGTGTCTCAAGAGTCCAGAGAGAGGTGGAGAAGAGGATTTGATCCTAGCTGGACGCCAATGGTTCACGCCTGTAATCCTGACTACGGAGGCTGAGATCGCGGTTCGCAGACTGTGGTTCTAGAACAACCCGGGCAGAAAAAGTCCGCAACACTCGGATCTCCACCTGAGAGGTGGAGCACTAGCCTGGAGCCAAATAGCTCTCGCCTAGGCCCGGAGTTCAAGCCCCAGGACAGATAGACTCACAGACACCCAGACACACAGACTTACACACACACGTCCATTCCAAGAGCCAAGGGCGTGGGCTCGGAGGCGGCAGGGCCGGGAGGGCGCTGCCAGCGGCGGCGAAGGCCGTGGCGGGGGAAGCCCGCGGCCTTGGGGCTGTGGGCCGCCGCCCAGCCCGGCCCGGCCTCTCCGCAGAGCCGCCCCGCTCGGCCGGCCGGAGGAACGCGAGGAGGCGGCAGCCCGTCCTCCCACCCCGAGTCCCCGAGCCCCCAGACAAGCCCAGCCGTCAGATCGCACCTTGCCAAGCAGCCGCCTCACGCCTTCGCAGTCGAACTCCATCACTAGGTAGGTTCTGGAGTCAGATTCCCAGACTCCAGACCTGAGGCCTTCTTCCGGACCAGTCTCTGCACGGAAGCCGCGGAGGGCCAAATGCCGGGAGCGGCCCAAAGCCCCGCCCCTTTCCCGGACTAGAAATTCCAGCCCTGTAGCCCGCTGGGGCATCAGCGGGGGCTCCGCCCGGCGCCCGCGCGCATGCGCGCCTCCAGCAAACCACTCCAGAGAGCTACAGGCTTGGGGCTCTGTTCGAAATGCGTTGGCGGCTGAGGGACCCTCTACCCAGGCTTGCTGGAAGGACACTCGACAGTCCTAAAGGGAAGAATGGGAAGGACCTGTGTAGTAGCAGTAAAGGAGGTAGAAGCAACATGGAAGTTTCTAGAAAGGTGTATTAAATGTAGCATCGTATGGGTAAAAATGGAGGCCATAAGCTTTGGGTAGCAAAACTATAGGGGAAACAGGGTCAAGAGGAACATTGTTAGCTTCGAGGGGAAAGACAGTTGTATAAAGGCTGTGCCCTATAGTGGAGAGGGCTTGTTTCTAAGGAGAGTTGTAACCGGTGGTGGTTGCTTGGGCCTGGTGTGGTGGCTCAAGTGGTGATCTCAACTATGTAGAGGCTATAGGTAGGGTCCCAGGCCCTAGGCCAGGCCAAAACCTGGGGACTCCTATTTGAAAAGTAACCTAAAAAGAAAATTTAAAAAGGTTGGTGGAGCCGGGCGCTGGTGGCTCACGCCTGTAATCCTAGCTACTCAGGAGGCTGAGATCTGAGGATCGCGGTTCAAAGCCAGCCCGGGCAGGAAAGACCGTGAGACTCCTATCTCCGATAAACCACCAGAAAACCGGAAGTGGCGCTGTAGCTCAAGTGGTAGAGTGCTCGCCTTGAGCTGAAGAGCTGAGGGACAGCGCCCAGGCCCAGAGTTCAAGCCCCATGACCGACAAAAAATAAAAAGGTTGGTGGAGTGTCTTAAGTGGTAGAGAGTGCCTAGAGAGCATAGGACCTTGAGTTCAAACCCCAGTGCCACCAACAGTTGAAACAGATAGTAGGTTGGTTTTGTGGATAAGGTCATCTGGAGAAAGAAGATGATTAAGAGATAAAGGATAGGGTTAATTTTGTTTTGTCTCAGACTTGTGAAGCTAGCTATTCACCTTACTCTATGTCCATGGCATTAAGAAGGTGCAAGAGCTCTCATGAAGTTGGTCATTCAAGATGGTGATTGTATGTATAGAAGGAACCAAAGGCAGTGAGGTTGTAACTCAATTGGAAAGAAAGTAAAACACTGGAAGGCACATTCATTTATCCCCCAAAACTTGTTGAGCATCCACTATTTTCCTAGGTCTGAGAATATAGCATGGAACAACAACAAAAAAGGCAAAACATAACTGTTCTTACCTGTAATTCTTAGAAGAGGGAGGACAAAACAGTAAACACTGCAAGTGAAATATATAGCCCGTTTGAAGGTTATAGAAATCCAGCTGTGTTCCGTTCTAAATTACAGTAGCTTTTAGGCTGTGTGTTGCCCTGAGTGACTCCATTTTATAAAATGACACTTTGTTCCATTCTGAATGCAAATGTCTACCTCTTGTTTGGGCAAGTGAACAATCGCCATCTGTCCATCCCAAACCATGAGACACAAACCAATTAAATAATGTTTATGCAAATATAATAGTGCCACAGATGAATTTACCAAATAAAATTAGGAATACTCAGGTATATCATAACCATAGCAGAAAAGCCAGACTGGTGAGCATAATTAACATAGCAGATAGAGGGATACTTCAACCTTCTCACCTGGATCATGTAAAAGGAAAGGCTTCCAACATTGGAGTGCAGGTGGCACTTTCCAGTGCATGTGCATCAAGGATGGACAAGTCATGAACTTGCCTATGAACTCCCAACTCTATCCCCACAGCTGTCTATCAGCAGGGCTTCAGCTCAGCATGATTTTCCTACTTAATCCACTTCAGTTGTTATTTTCTACACTCAGTAAATATGGAACTCACTCTGTGCTTTGACACCTCTGTACCACAAATCCATTACTTGAGGTTATGTTAGAAAATTGTCTTGAGTTAACCATTTGTTTCTGTAGCAGCTGTCTGCTCTTGCTGTTAGTAAGGTCTCTCTGAACCCTACATCTGCTTTAGCTCATTCTTTGCCATTTTGTTTTGTTTTGTTTTGTCGTGGTGCCTAAACTCTGGGCCTGGGCGCTGTCCCTCTTCAGCTCAAGGCTAACACTCTACCACTTGAGCCATAGCACCACTTCTGGCTTTTTTCTGCTTATGTGGTGCTGAGGAATCGAACCCAGGGCCTCATGCATGCCAGGCAAGCACTGTACCACTGAGCCACCTTCCCAGCCCCCTTTGCCATTTTGTAACCTATACTATATTATGTGAAGTGCAATATGTGATCTTGGAATAAAAGTACCTGTGATTATAAGTCACTTTAGCTACTAGATGAAATCAGTAGTACTTGGAGAATTATCACCAACAAAATTGATGTAGCTTCTTTATTTGTTGTCACTCAACAAATTCTAACATTGTAGAAAGACATAAACATGTTTGTCTATGTTTCTGACAGCTTATGATATGAAGAATATTTTTTTTTTTGGTCCGGTCATGGGGCCTGAACTCTCGGCCTGGGCGCTGTCCCTTAGCTCTTCAGCTCAAGGCTAGTGCTCTACCACTTGAGCCACAGCGCCACTTCCGGCTTTTTTCTTTTTGTTTATGTGGTGCTGAGGAATCAAACCCAGGGCCTCAGGCATGCAAGGCAAGCGCTGTACATTGAGCCACCCTCCCAGCCCCGAAGAATTTTTTTTTTTTTTGTCAGGTCGTGGGGCCTGAACTCTGGGCCTGGACGCTGTCCCTCAGCTCTTCAGCTCAAGGCTAGCGCTCTACCACTTGAGCCACAGTGCCACTTCCGGTTTTTTTCTTTTTTGCTTATGTAGTGCTGAGGAATCGAACCCAGGGCCTCATGCACGCGAGGCAAGCGCTCTACCACTGAGCCACCTTCTCAGCCCATGAAGAATATTTTTTTAAATTTTAAGGGGATCAGGATAGATTTCAGAGTTGAGAGAGTAAGTACGCAAATTAAAGAGCAATCATAGCAAAGTCCCAAGATTCCAACCAAGCCCATGCTTGGAGGGGCTCAAACAGCGAGGAGGAGGAGACCAGAGAATAAGAAAGAAGTGAGGGGCTGGGAAGGTGGCTCAGTAGTAGAGGGCTTGCCTTGCTTGCATGAGGCCCTAGGTTCGATTCCCCAGCACCACATAAGCAAAAAGGAAGCCAGAAGTGGCACTGTGGCTCAAGTGGTAGAGCGCTAGCCTTGAGCTGAAGAGCTGAGGGACAGCGCCCAGGCCCAGAGTTCAGGCCCACGACCGGACCCAAAAAAAAAAAAAAAAGAAGTGAGCAAGTAGAAATAGGGGGGCAAAGTCACAGAAGGAAACAAAGGAATAGATGGTTTACAACACTGATTCTTCCAGTGTAGTTTCCAAAACTACAACCTCAGCATTGCCTAGAACTTGTTAGAAAAGCAGATTCGTTTAAAACATGAATTGTATTGAGACAAAATTATATGTTTATTGTTTGCAGCTTGATTTTTTGAAACATACATACATTTTAGAATGACTAACTTGAGTTAATTAACAGAAATGTAGATCCTAATATCCCACCCCAGCCTTGTTCTATCAGAAGTTCTGGAGATGGGCCCAGTATTTCAGATGATTCAAGGGTAATGAAGTCAGAGCCAAGTATGACACCATGTAGATAATTTTAAGGACTTTTTTGTGAGTGCCCTTCAGCCTCAAACTGGAATAATAAGCTCATATAAAAAATACAAAAGGGGGGCTGGGAAGGTGGCTCAATGGTAGAGCGTTTGCCTTGCATGCCTGAGGCCCTGGGTTCCATTCCTCAGCACCACATAAGCAAAAAAGAAAAAAGCTGGAAGTGGCGCTGTGGCTCAAGTGGTAGAGCACTAGCCCTGAGCTGAAGAGCTGAGGGACAGCACCCAGGCCCAGAGTTCAGGCTCCACGACCGGACCCCAAAAGAAAAAAAATACAAAAGGGCTGGGAAGGTGACTCAATGGTAGAGCACTTGCCTTGCATGCATGAAGCCCTGGGTTCCATTCCTCAGCACCACATACGCAAAAAGAAAAAAGCTGGAAGTGGCGCTGTGGCTCAAGTGGTAGAGTGCTAACCCTGAGCTGAAGAGCTGAAGGACAGCGCCCAGGCCCAGAGTTCAGGCCCCATAACCGGACCGAATAAAAAAAAATACAAGAACACATCTGTATTTAACAAATTATTATTCCTATAGTGAGGGAACTGGTACTGTTACCACTGAGCCAGTTCAGTGAGTGTTAGGATTCTATTAAAGGACTTAGATGAGTTAGAGGAGGCTATGAGGAAACAGGCCTTCACTCTGGATTGTATGCTGTCATGAAGTAGACATTTTGGTGACTAGCTAGCTATAAATATGATAAATACTATAAATATCACTATAAATATTATCAGTGTATACAAGTTTTGAGCCAGGAGTCTAATCCTAGCACTAAGAAGGTGAAGGCAAGAGGATGATAAGTTCAAGGCCATCCTCATCTTTCAGCTATACTATAAGACCCTGTTTTTTCTTTTCTTTTTTTTTTTCTAAACTAGAGTGAAGATGAAAGTATAATTGACCAAAGAAGTAGCAGAGGGGAAGATATTTTGTATTTTATGCCTTATCCAATGACCTTGATCTTATCTCTGTTTAGACAGAATTATACAGTGACCCTGTTGCTTCACACATTTTTAGTCAGAGTGACCTTGTTTTGTAAGATTGCTTTATGTCTAACAGAATAACCTGACCAGCATCTAACAACACTGAGGTCAAGCTATGTCAGACATCTCCCTGATCTCAGGACTTGCTTTTTTCCTTTCTCAGGCTATTACTGTGAAAGAAAAAGAAGCTGAGAGAAGAGGTAGAGGGATCGTGATGGAGGTAAGTGAACATGAATTGAAATACATTTATACATTTGCAGTAACGTCACAATGATTTCCTCCCTTTTATAGATAAAGTATGCTAATAAAACAGAAAGGAAGAAAAGAAGGAGAAGCCATTGTAAGGTT